TTTATTTATAATGTTTTTGCCCTTTTTACTTTTTTTACTTTTTTTTCATCTGTTTTGTCTTATTTTGTATTTCTATGTTTTCTCCTTTTTTACAGGTGATCTGATTTACAACAGAATGGATAGTGATGGATGTAGATTTTATGCAATCTGTAGCCCAGTATGTACTATTGAACGACACAGTGTACCTTGTAATGTCACTACTACTTTAGCCACTACTTCCTCTGAGTGGTCTACCACAACAACATCAGTTCCTCTGTCAACCACTTCGAAAAGTGTTCATTTTCACGGCTGTGTTTCTAGTACATACCCTCCCCTACAGGTATGTAATTTCTGACTTTTTTGACGACTTTTGAAATAAGATACTTTTTCAGGTGACAACAGTGCATAATAGCTTGTAGTCCATAAAGCTTAGATATACAGGTTGTTGTAATTATTTTACTAGTGATGGGCAAAATATGACTTAAAATTTGAATCTGTTTTTTTTTAATTTCAGGATTTTATACTGATAAAGCAAGTTACATTATTATTTTCTAATTACTTTAGTGGTAGTAAAACACTGATGCACTGCATCAATAATAAGATCTCTCTGCCATAATAGAATGAGTTTTCTTGTGGATCTTCTTGTTTCACTAAACAGAAATATTTAAGCTCCTCTGGAGTTTTGTATCTGCTTCTCTTCTGCCCTCTTACTTTTATTTCCATACACTTTTATTTTTCCTTTTGTGGTGGTCTGTGCTGACAGTGAAGTGCACTATACATAGTTAGTATAAAGTTCCTTTAACCTAAGTTTTATCACCCTAAACCCCTGAAGAGCTTCTCATGCAGAAGAAACAGCTCTAATTAAGGCTCCCACCTTCTTTTAGCATCGAAGAAATTTATCATGTGGAATATTGGCAATCTTTTACTACCAGTGAAGTTTTTCATTTTAGTCTTTGCTTCAGATTTAATAAAGGTTATACCCATTTGCTATCTTCTGTGACAAGAATTTTTTGTTCCTTTTCAGCCTGGAGAACATTACAAATTATCCAACTGTACAGAAGTCATCTGTAAAGGAGACAATGATATAGACATAGTACCAACATACTGCCCACCTGTAAAGGAAATTACCTGTGCAAACAAATATCCTCCAGTCCTAGTACCTGATGAAAATGGCTGCTGTTACCGATATGAGTGTCAATGTAAGCACCAGTAGATTAAGGAATTAGGTTTTTTGAAAAAAGCAAAGCTTTGCATGGACTAGATGGGTATTTTCTTTTCTTAAGGTTGCTCTTTTAATTGCAGTATATTCACTTGAGTTTCTCAATCTTTCTTCTTCATTAATTATCATCTTAATCTTCCAAATATTTCCTCCGTACCAGGTGTGTGTAGTGGATGGGGTGACCCTCATTACATCACATTCGATGGAATCTACTATACTTTCCTTGAAAACTGCACTTACGTCCTGGTGAAACAGATTATTCCTAAATATGACAACTTCCGTGTTTACATTGACAATTATTACTGCGATGCAAAAGACGGACTCTCCTGCCCTAAATCCATTCTTATTTTCTACAAATCTGCAGAAGTGGTGTTGACTCGGGAACTCATGAATGGTGTCATGACCAATGTGGTAAAATACAATTTTTTTTCTCTATTTTTACAAAAAATAAATAAGGTCCACAAGCCTTACTGATGCTGATTTGAGATAGTCTATTAGAATATCATATTGTGGAGGTGATGAGGGCAGAGGGTATTGTTATGGGGGGGAAAAACGGATTGCACTGGATACTAAGAACAAAAGGTCATAAACAGCTTAGCATTATGCAGATTATGTATTATGTATGTTTACATGTAGATAATACTAGGAAACAGACTAATAGACCTGATAGAGAAGGCACAAATAATGCTCACACTGGTGCTTGATTCATATTTCATGAAAACTGGTACATTGTGCCATTGACTTCTGTAAACAAACAGATAATAAGCAAACACAAATGCAAGTCACAAGTGTGATTCTACTCTCAGAGTGAATATGGGTATGTATCACTTGTCAGCTGGATGACTAGGGACTGCTTTCCCTGCATAGGGAACTTCAGGTGCCAAATAGAGCCCTGACCTGACTCCCCTCTCAGTTTCCTCCTGGGAAAGGAGGTATAGCTGAAGAAAAGCAATGACTTTGAGTGTCACCTTTGTGATCCTGAACTAGCGCTGGCAAGCCAGTGAAAATGAAAAGTCAGTCCCACTTTTATACTGAGGAATCTATTAGTTAATTAGACAATGCAAAGACGGGGAGGAAAAGGTTGTCTAAATAGGCACTCTCCCCTTACAAAGCCATGCCAAACTCTCAGTCAGAAAGGCATGCTGGTTCTAGTGATTCCCTGCAAAAGAAAACAGTAACTGACAGTTGTAACTCTAACTTTATCCCAGTTCACTGAGCAGGGAGTTGCAGAATAACTTCTGACAAAAAGCTATTAGGGAAATATGTTCACCTTCTTAGCTCATATAAGATACTGGCTGCAAACTAAAAAGCTTAGGCTAACAAATAAATATGACCACTACATAAAACTGGCACTAGGGACATCTGACTTCATTTTGAATTCAGATAACTCCTCCAGTGCCAATTAATGTGTTGTAAAAGAACAGTGTGATTATCCAGCAAAGTTATTATGCAATGGCAGAAATATTTCTGTAGCTAAAGAAAACTACCGCTCATTTTCATAGGAAAAATATTCGCAATAAACAAAATTAGGAGGGATACAAAGAAAATACTTGAATATAGAATACCGTGCATTAGCACACAATCTGTACAAACACAGTACATAAAGGCCACTTAGTTTATTATCACATTTTATGAATATAGTAGTTCAAGCTGAGATATCAATGTAAATATATGCTGTTATTGAGATGCCAGTGAGTATTGGATGTTATGCAAAACCATATGGACTTATGCAATAATTATGAAGATTAGAAAATTTAAATATTACTTAAAACAATCAGTCAGAAGCAGTGCTTATTCTGAAGTTGTCTTTTGTTGTTTCTTTTTTTTAATCTTGTATTCAGATGTACTTCAACAAAAAGATTGTCAAACCAGGCTTCGAAAAAGACGGCATTTCTTTCTCCACTCTTGGCATCAATATGATTGTTGAAATAAAAGAGATTGGTGCAACTATCACCTTTAGTGGTCTAATCTTCTCTGTGAAACTCCCATACAGCAAATTTGGCAACAACACCGAAGGACAGTGTGGTAAGACAGATGCACTCGTTGGAGGTGGTGCTCTTTCCCCATCCTACCATGGTTGTTCTCACCCACTCTGGCTATGCAGTCTCATGACTGACAGAAATTTTTAAAGAGCAGTAAAATGGAAATGAAAACAGTTCTGCTCTTCAACTTCTGTAGGATATCAAAAGCTCAATATTTCAGCAATCAGGTTTTTTTTTTCTTTGGTGTTGGGGTTTTAGACTTGTTTGTTTTTCTAGAACATAAATTAAAGTTCATATAACTGTAAAGAAAGCACTACCTATGAAACAAGGGACCATATGGATTTCATGAACACATCTAGACACATTGGCACAGTAATGTATTGTGCATTTCTGATGTGGCTTATGAGACTTACTCAGCTTGTCTCTTCCAGGAACATGTACAAATAACAAAGCAGATGAATGCCGTTTACCAAGCGGTAAGATCATTTCTTCCTGTCCCCAAATGGCTCATCACTGGATTGTTGATGACAACAGGACGTGCCATGGAGTACCAATAGTACCAACTATAACCACACCTCCACCAAAGCCTCATTGTGAAACACCTCCTCTCTGCAAGCTTATCTTGAGCGAGTAAGGAAAAAACCTGAACAAATTCTTTCTTTCTAGGCAAAACTTCCAGTATCTTAGAAGAAGAATAACAACTATAGCCCTAGCATGTTATAATAGCTGAAAATGTTTGCTTAACAACAGAATATATACATGTATATAAAGCCTTTGGAAATGAAACAGCTCTGCCTAAATGACTTGCAAGCCAAAGATAACTGAGCAAGGAGAGGTGAAGTGAGAATATAAGGGATGCAGCAAGCACTAAAATCCGTACTCCCTGTTTGCAATCCTGCCAGGGTATGCTTAATAACTCTTAGTTACAGTATTAAGCAAAGGCTTAACTCTACATTTGAACTGGGTATTCAGTACAAACCATAAAGAACCTGGTTATCAAACAGGTTAAGAAAGCAGACACAAACAGTCAAGAAACGTCCTTCATTCTTTGTATACTTTATGTAAAACATGGAGCTCCAAAAGCACAAATGCTTGTTTCCTGAAGTATTTCCTATACTTGTGTAGGCTGGAAACAGCTTTTTTTTTAGCTGAGTCATTTATAAAGGCTCTCTTACATGTGCTTTCTGTACTGCCTTATAAGTTCTGAGCCATTTTCTGTGCAATTTTTCTATCTCTAGACTACTTTTGTCATCCCTTTTTTTCTCAACCCAGTGCAGTTAGCCTTTTACACTAAATTTATGGTCTCAGACTGATGAAAAGCTGCGTACACATACAGAAACACTATTACCATTAACCTCTGCAGAAAATAAAAGGAGCTTCAGATTTCCTAATCTTTCCTGAACTTAACTCCCAGTTTATTGGCCATTCCTATGGTTTGTTTCTTCACACCTTCCTTTCTGAAGCAGAAAGTCACACAGTATTAACTGGAAAGTGTTACCTGACAGGAACAGACTTTATATAATGGCTCATTAACATAGAAGGGGCTTTCTTTACTGTCTGCAGGATTTTTGCACAATGTCATGCTGTGATACCACCAGAACCATTTTTCAAAGGCTGTGTTTTCGATGGATGTCGCATAGATGATGAATCCATGCAGTGTTCCAGTTTGGAGATATATGCTACAGAGTGTGCGTCTAGAGGTGTCTGCATTGACTGGAGAGGACAGACCAACAATACATGCTGTAAGTATTGCAGAACTCAAAATGGATGTGATAAATAGTTTTTTATTCAGTAAACATGTCTTCTATCTAACACTTGGCTGCTGTCAACAAAAATCCAGCGGGGTCCTTTCTCACAGAAGCTGCAGACGAAGGCAAAGCTGTAGTCATTTTTGCAGCAAAAATGCATCTACAGTCAATTTTTAATTTTTTTTGGTCTTTTTCCATACAGCATTCAGCTGTCCAGCAAGCTTGGTATACAAGCCATGTGGGCCCATTAATCCTGATACCTGTGATCAAAGGTAAGGAAAGGCAAAAAAAACCCTCATCCTGAAACAACTGCTTATATTTTTCTTTTTTTTTTTCTATTATTGCCTATCCACTTTCCTTAGAAATTTGAGTTATTTCATAACAAAATGTGTTACAAATTTGGATAACTTATTCAAGATTTATAAATATCAATCAGCTCTGTCTATATGTGCTTCTTGTTGCACGCCAGAAAGTGTAAATTTTTTGTCTCTTGTATCTGATATGTCAACCTTCTCTATATGCTGTTCTGTCTCCTGCTTCATCGCAAAAATATTGTACTCAAATACATACATTCCTCTCATTCTAGCTCTGTTGAGCATCCTGGCTTTGGAATAACTGAAGGCTGTTTCTGTCCTGAAGGAACAACACTCCTGAGTGCAGAGAGCAATATCTGTGTCCCTGAATGTTGTAAGTAATCTGTAGCTAGTTTGGGGAATAGAGATCAGGTTTGTTAGTCAGGAGGCCTGAGTTCTACTGCTGTCTTCTACATGGTCAGATCATCAGCAAATCAGCTTCTTTAAGCTCCTTTAGTCTCCTCATCTAAAAATTGAATAATAATATTATCTTTTTTTCATCATCCTTGGTAGAACTCTATATTTCAGAACTAGTCCGCATATTCATTTTCTTGTTAGCTTTATCTTCACAATATTTTTATTTGTAACTGCACATATGTCAATTTTTAGTGGTGTGAATCTCCATTCATTTCATTGTCTGGGTTTTTTTCTTTTTCTTTCCAGCTTGCAGAGAACCAAATGGAGTACCCAGATGGGTGAGTATCACAATCAATGTGGCTTAAAGTGCACAGATAAGTGAAACAAGAGGATACTTAGTGTTCCACTAAAACAAAGCTTTGCTTAGGTTGGCGAAGACTTTTGTCTTTTCAAATGTTGGTTCCCTTTTAGTCTTAAAAATAATAAGTGCTAGAGCAGCCCTCAGAAATGTAACAGGAAGTGGTGAAGTATTCTTTCAATAACCTCACATACAGTTTCTTTTATTTACAGAAGTTTGTCTTGCTAAAGTTACTATAAATGAAGGGAGAGATGGATAACAAATTTTACCTGTTGCTGATATTGTTCACAGTCTGCATTCTTAGTTCCTCAGCTGCATACAAATCTGCAACCTAATGTGCAAATGAGTTTGTCATATTTCATATTCAAAAATGCATGCAAAGCTCAATCACTTCCCCTTCAGAAATCCTTTATCACTCGTGCTGACATAACAAAGTCATAGCTTTGTGAACACACTCAGAACCTTCAGTGGCCTCCAGTATCTTCCCCTAAGAAGCTTCAATTTGAAGGTCTTTTTTAAAATCTAAAAATACAAAAAGGCTGATATAATCAGGTATCACTGTATCCATGAATATGTCAACTAGAAGCAAATAGAATTGTTTTGGTTTGAATTTACTTATTTTTTTTTCTTCTCTTTGTGTGTGTTTTTCTTTTTTATATAGCCAGGAGAAAAATGGACAAAAGATTGCCAGGAATGTGTCTGTGACAAAAATACTCTTAAGGTGCACTGTACAAAACACAAATGTTCTCTGACACAGCAAGTATTTTGTGATGAACCAGGTTACATGCCCGTTCAGATACAGATACCAGAAGATCCATGCTGTACTAGGACTGAGTGCTGTAAGTAGTTTTAGTTCTTTATCATGGGGAATACACTATATTCATTTTGGGAAACTACAGCAATTTTTTTAGTACTTTGCATGGATGTAATAATGCTTTTCTCCCTCATCACACTTTTTAGGGCCTTCTTGCATAGCATATACTAAATGTCTGAAGATAACAAATTTAAAGATTTTATACAGTTAGACACAGAAGTAACTGAAATCTTCTATAATTTAACACTGAAAAACTTAAATGCTGCCACCATCTGAAACAATATTCAAAAACTATTCACAATATTTTCTGTTTCAAAGACCAGTATTAGAAAGTTATCTTAACTTAAAAAAAATATAGTCTTGAACATTTAAAAATTGCTCAAGAAAGTTCCTGACCCACTAACAGTCATCATATTTTCCAACTGATACAAATTTCTCTTTGGAATTATCTCTTTCCAGCAATCATCACCGCGTTCTTCTCATACAATGTTTTGTTTTACAAGTGTTATGGAAAAGCCCATTCACTCTGAAAACACCTGGGCATGCAGACTGAAATAGTCACTAAACTGTCTTAGGCAAACAACATCATATTTGCCCCACTGGAAAACTTCTGAAGTTCATGTCAAACAAAATTGCTTTCATTTAAAAATTCTGAGTTCATTATTTTGTGTATTCTCTTCCATGAAACAGATTGCAACACCAGCCTCTGCCCTGAGGTCACGCCCCAGTGCTTAGAGGGACAAGAAATAATCACAATAATGCAGCCTGGAAAATGCTGTCCTACCTTTGAATGCAGTAAGTATAGAGCACCTTCTTCATGTGTTATTTACTGCTATATTTTTCTAAGTTTATGAATACAAAAACCTTATTATCTGTATTATCATATTGGGCCTCACTGTGAACAAGTGTTTTAAGGTTACCACCACGGGCCTGCAAAGCAGGAGCCTTTTTACACACTTCTGCTTCTTAAAACTTACACCTCTAAGACACCATCTTTCTTCCTTCTTTACAGGACATGGCTGCGTAGTCAATGAAACTTACTATGCGGTAAGTACACAGAGTAAATCACTATAAAAATACACCTTCACATAGCCCACCATGCAATGGTTTTGAGATCTCTATCATGGTCCATATTTTGCAGAAAGGTGTGAGATATAATTATATAATATTATTAATTATTTAATCAAGGTTAGCAAATCAACACCTTCTGTAAAAGCAAAAGCATTTTCTGCTCTACTTTCTGCATGAGCAGAATTTAATTCCAAAATTGTTATTATCAAACCAGAAACTCTTCTTAAATAAAACTAAAATCGTATTTATGGATAGCTTAGCCTATACATCTTTGTATTGTCTGTGACTTACATACACAGAGCAACTTGCGTTTACTGACTAATAATGACTTTTTTCCTGACTCCCCCTAGCCTGGAGCTGTCATTCCATCAGGCCCCTGCGAAGAATGCACCTGCTCTGCATCCTCTTACTTAAGGCCTCACCGTGTTACTGTCAAGTGTGAGCCTGTTACCTGTGACACATACTGCCCACTGGTGAGTGCTATTCTGCCGTCAGAAATTCCTTCCCTGCTCAGCTCTAATAACCACTAGTTAAGGTCAGTGACCTGACTCAATGTTATTTCCTTTCTATTTCTTTCAAAACAGGGTTATAAGTATACAGAGGAACCGGGACAGTGCTGCGGCACGTGCAAGGCAGAGGCTTGCGTGGTGACTGTGGGACACAACATTACACACGTGGTCTATGTAATTATCACTGGTTTAGTTCACTTTTGGGGAACTCTGCCAGTCTTTTCATTCTTTCTGCTCCTTGTATTTGTCACATTTATTTCCTGCATCTTTTCTCATGTTTGACACATGCTTATTTAGGCAAGGAGTGGACTGCCTCCACACAGTTTAAATAGTATCTTATGCCATGAAACTTCAGTTCTAAGACTTCAAGAAGGAACTGTGATACTGAACAATAGCTTTCAGAAATCAACATAGAAAAATACACAGGTGAAAGCAATGGGCCCTTATTTGCCCCTTCAGCTCTGAAAATGTAGCAGCCATTTTGCTCAAAGGATAATTTTATCTGTGGAGGCAGCTTTCAGCTCCAAACAGCTTATCTTAAATTAGCTGAGAGCTTTAAGACAGGATGAGTCAGTGAAGCCATGAGAAATTCTTCCATGTATCTGAATGGACATACCCAAAAATTCTGATGATAAAATCCTTGAAACACAAATTATTCCTTCCAAATGAGTCCACATACTTACCCTATTCACACAAAAAATTCATCTATATCCAGATAAAAATAGAACCTCTTCACTTGGTTAATGAAAAACACTTGTGGCAGTATGATAACATGGCAAATAATGATTAGCTGAAATTCAAGGAAATTGTTCAAAATAATCAAACTGCTGTACACAGTGATGATAAGACATTGGGGTTCGGGTGTTGATTTATTTTTTTTTTCATTTTTATTTAGGAAGATTTTTATTTACTTTAATTTTGATTCCTTTCAGGAAGGAGAATACTGGAACCCACCTGGTGATAACTGTACAGTCTACACATGTGAAAAACATGCTGACCAGTTCATTCAAGTCGTCAGACAGACAAGCTGTCCTGCCTTTAACCCTGATGAATGTGATCCAGTAAGTACTGTTCTACCAGTTCTCATATTTGAAAAGATTGCAGTGGCTAACACCAGTGACAAAAGGGTCATGGTGTCCAAGGAAAATACCTAGCAGAAGCATCATATAGGAAGTAGCTCTCTTTTTGTCCTCTCTGAATCTGGTCCCCATGAGATTTTATTTCAGAAAAGCAACTCAAAATTAAAATGGGTGATATATCAATCCTCATTGGGGATTGGGTAGTAGAGAAAAGGGTACAGCATAATGTTTTGGATTCCTAAAAGTGTCAGGTGACATAGATGCAAAAATCATACTGATTTTTGAAAAATAATTGGGGGTTTATTCCTAAACTATTTAAGATTATAAATTATTTTAGGGGCTTTTTTTAGAATTCACTAATTGAAAGGAAAGGTGAAGGAAAATAAGCTACTTCATTCAAATTAATACTCAGGGTAGATTAGAACTAGCCCCACACCTCTGGCAAGTCAGTTATTTCATTCATTGTGTCACCCTGTCTGACATAATCCTTCACCTGTGCTGGCTTTGGTCACTCAATATTTTGACCTACATTTGCTATAAGCTTTATACCTGAAATTTTACTACTGAACTCTGATGACAACAAAGCAGTTCTGGTCCTTCCCTGTTTCAGCTTTCAAAGAACTCTTATTAATATTTTAGTAGTTATGTGCCGTTAATATTTAGCCTTGCTTGAAATTAGATTCCATGTCAATACAAAAAAACCCCCCTCTGGTGCCAGAGAAACTTAGGAAGCAGGGAAAGTCTGCTTCAGTATGCAGATATGAAACCTGAGTTATCTTTGTATGTTTTCCCACTAAAGAATGACATCAAGTTATCTGACGATGGTTGCTGTATAGAGTGCCGAAGAAAACCAAAGCGTAAGTAAAGATAATTTTGTTAAGAGTAAGTAATGATAATATGTGCCTTATTAGGTATATTAGCTCATCTTATATAGACCAAGTTTGGGATCACTGTTTCACACTGGGGTGAGAAAGGAAACAGGTGGAAAAAGAAAGGAACAGAACATCTCCAGCATGCATTTTAGGGCCTTGGGAAACAAAGACGTGGTGAACTTTCCCATCTCATACTGTTAAATGTTAGCTTTTTTTGTGAGAGGGTAAAGACTATGAATACTCTCCAATTTCCATAGATACATCCTCTTTAAGGAAGAAAGGGAAGCCAGTCTTGGGAGGTGGGTGTGCATTGAGCAGTTGCCATTCTTTATTTCTGCATCCTGCACCAAAGTTGCATAAGAAAAAGGGAAAAATTCACCCATTTGATAACACAAAAAGCAAGAATCTTCATTTGGCCCTTAGCAATTATTAAAAAGAAGTGTACTGTGACTTAATTTCCTATTTCAGCTCCATCCCTCTTAGTTTTTGATTACCAACTGTCTATCATACACAGCTATCTATTCATATGCACATATATCTTAACCTATTTTCTTTTGGTTTGTGATGGCTTTAGTTTGTATGAAGCACAATACTACAGCTGTCATCAAATATAATGGATGTGTATCTCCTGCACCTGTTGAGATGACATACTGTGAAGGCAGCTGTGATGCTTACTCACGGTGAGTGGTATAAAAGATAATTGTGGTCTCTTGTCTTCTACTCTTTGCACCAGTTACACAAAGCAAACTGCAAGTGATTTTCTGATGTGTCCAACATCCACCTAGTCATCAACTGTTGTTGATAATTAACTAGAATTGTGATAATTAACTAGAATTTTAAACAGACGTGACGTTGTACTAAATTACCTCAAGATTCACAATGTTTATCAGCCTGTTCAGTGTCAGTTTAGATTTTGCCCATGTAAAAGCGAGGTTATTTGTTTCTTGTTTTCCTCTCACTGAACTGGCTCACTGTGTGATCTGGATTAACTCCTTTATTTTCTTCTGGGCCTTAATGAAGAGTTAGATCCATCGATTTTTATAATTAGGAACAACTTACCTATATTTCACTACAATACTGTAAGAATGGTAATACTGAGCAATAGTCCCACATGCAAGTAAACAACTTTTGGTTATGTTTTGTAATGGGTGGAAGGGGCAGTGGTATTTCTCACATAAATTCTGAATCTCTCTCTTTGATTGGTTTTTCCATCAGATATTCTCAAAAGACAAACACAATGGAACACAAATGCTCATGTTGTCAGGAAATCAAGACCAGCCAAAGAAAGGTGACTCTGACATGCAGTGACGGAACCTACCTTGATCACTCATACACCTATGTCGAGAAATGCAGCTGTGTGACTGCTCAGTGCATTCCCCAAGACAGCACCCAACAGGAGACAAGCCAGACAAAGACCTCTCAGGAACAGGCAAATGTCAAAAATTAGAACTGGAGACACGTCGCCAAACAAGGGTTGGACATAAGACTGAAATAAAAAAACTTTGAAAAAATATGGAAGTGTCAAGAGCAGCTAAAATTTTGGATGAACAGATGATATTTTCTGCATAAAATCCCAATATGTCTTGTCTACATAATTTCAGTTTTCATTATCGATATATCTCCCATTTTTTCTTTCATGTCTTTTACCTCCTTGAGAAGTACAGCATAAGGTCATCTTGTCATTTTCTGTTCATTTGTCTTCTGAGAAGTGCTGTAACATAAGATTGAGAGATGGATTTTTAATAACATTTTCATTCCAGTTCATTGAGACAAATCAAAAGATAAATCCAGAAAACAAACAAAAACCAAGGAAAACTGTACCTCTCTGCTTCTATATGTTTCTTTTTGCATTGAGGAAAACTTAGACTGCAGAAAGCCATACTTTTCCAAAACTGTAAACTTCAATATTTTGGACAATTTATGATGGACATATTTCCCTATATATTTTTTGTGAGAAAAAGGAAAAAATCCTATTACGAGAAGCTGCTGCACACTACTTTTTGTTTACATAACACCATCAGCATAGTAACTGTATGAAAATATGGATTTTTTTTTTTTGTTTTGTTTGTGGTTAACTGTTTACAGAAGAAGTATATATATATATATATATATATTTGCCAACAGGGGCATATGAAGGATTTTTTTAAAACAAAAGTTTATTAATAATAATAATAATAATAATAATAATAATAATAATAATTGTAAATTCTTTCTTAGGAAACTTGTAAAAGTTGAACCATTGCTATTTATTATTTTTTTTGGAAAACTGATTTATTGGGTCATTTCTTTCAGAATTAATGTTATCCCATTTCTTAGTCTCAGCCATGTTGTCTGGGTATGGTATATTTTCTTCTTTTGTTTTTGAATATTGTTTTATTTTTGTTCCTTATGGGGGGGGAAGCAATGATGATTAATAAATTTTCAGCATTTTACAGCACATCTGCTTTGACTTTTCACTGAATCCCTCGAGTTAGAGTTGCTGGCCCCATAAAGCCTAGCTCCAGGTCAAAAGTCACTCTAGGCTGTGGTACTGAGCCCCCTATAGAGGGGGCAAATACTTAGTGTTCCAAGCACAAGGCTTCAGATGCTATGAATTAGTGAACTTTCAGTAAGCAAGCACATCTCTGAGTCTGTACATATTTTGTGGCTCCAAACGTTCTTTACCTGACTGACAGAAACTATCCAAAGTATTTCAAACCAGTTAGTCTCATATTTTAGAGCCCACTGCAATACATATAAATCTCAAACCTGAAATTGTGCTATTGTAAATCTACGCCTTTGACAGGTTATTTTCCAGCTTTAGTTGCAGTATACTTCGAACCAGCTAGCACAGATCTGACTGCAGATTGTATACTACCAAGAAACATCTTTTGCATAACTTATAAGTCTTCTAGGATTGCTAAGGGGAATAGTAAAAAACTGAAGGTGATAACCGTTCTCCTACCTTACAGTTTGGACAGCTCAGTAGAGGGAGTAACAGGGTAAAAACGTAGGCTTTCCGCTGGTGCCCTGCAGCAGCTTAGGCTGCTCTCACACCTGTTTTTCTTTCACAGAACAGCCACTATCCATATATTTCCCCACTCAGAAGTGGGGAAGTGAGCACTGAGTTTTCCGCGAGCATTACTAGTAACATCCTACTTCCCGCTGCCAAAAATCCCTACCTCCCTCCCAGCTTCCTGTTGACAAGCTATTACTTCGATGTCTGTTTTTTCCAGCCTTGGGCTTGTTTTCTTCCCAGTGAGGCTCCAGGTGGCGCCCTGCTCTGTTCCCTGCTTTCCAGCTAACCCCCCAGGTTTCCCAATGCAGCACTACTGAATTCGTGACCAGTTCAACACGTGACAGATTCTCTGACCTTACCAGGCAAGCTAGGAAATTATTATTCTCCTACTCATTCTGCAGAAGGGAAAAGAGATTGTCTATAATATAAAATCAATTATTATGCACTTTATTGGTCCACAACAGTTCCTTGTCCACAGTTAACCTACTGAAATAACAGATTTCGTGCCTATTACTTCAAGATCATTAGTTGTTTTTCCACACCTGTATCTCAGCATCCCAGAAGCTATCCTCTTCCCTGGAAATGTCTATATGTAGTAAGTCTGTGCTACTAGCCACTTCATACAACTCACTGAAAGAGCAAAAACCAATATAGTGAGAAAGAAGGGAATGGGAGACATGTGGCATGGGGGAAGACTGAGAGGTGATAATGACAGGGACAGCAGAGGCCAAAACCAGCCTAGAGTTTGGTGGCATGAGGAAAAAACAAACAAACAAACAAACAACAACAGAAAAACCAAACCAAATCAAACCAAACCAACCAAACAAAAAAAAAAAAAAAAAAAAAAAACCAAAAAAAACCAGAAAGAGAAGCAAAAGAATAGATAGGCTTTGGTCCTGGCATGGGGAAACAGGAAGCAAAGGACACATAAGCCAAGGCAAATCATGGAAGCATGAAGAACCTGTGGCTGAGGAAGTACTGGAGACCCTGCCTTGGAGAAGGAAGGATTTCTGTCACAGATGCAGTCCCAGGGCTAGGAGATTGCAAACAGGAACCCTCAATTCAAGAGAAGGACAGGTGACAACATACTTTGGACATGAAAGACCAGATGAAAGATTTTCCAAAGACTCATTGAAACAAGACATGGAGTAAATGAAAGCAGAGTGCTGCAGTGGATGTAGTCAAGCAGCCTTATAGGCTTCCTAAATTTTCCTTTGTACAGGACCTATCTTTGCTCTGAGTTGTTTCTGATACAGACTGGGTAATAGCTCTGAAGTAAACCTTTCTAAAAACTGGATAAGATCAGTTATCTTTCTCAAAACTAAATTACTGGGGTTTTTTTAAAGCATAGATAAATAATAGAGTCAACAAATGATTAGGTGGGAGAAAGTGATTGGCTTGGTAGCTCTTTATTGACACAGGTCACCCTGAACTGTGCTGGTGTAGATGGTTAATGTACGTTACATGGACAGTAACACCAGAGGGCTCCAGGCTCACAGTTTACAGGCCTGGAAGAACAGATTTGCTGTCAAATGGGTTTCTTTCAAGGCACTTTGAAGCGAGCAACATAACTATTCCTTACTTTCAGATCAAGAAGATAAATTACGGCCTTAACTAAGTCTTGAATCTACAAGCATCCATTCCACATAACAAAACTTGTTTATACATCACATAATTTTTTGTCTTTTCTTATCTGATCATCTTTGAAACACAAGTAAGTTGCAACACAGAATTCATTCACTTAGGAAAGAAGTTATGCCAGCTGAAGAAAACACCAACATTCAAAGATTTTGGGTCTAATTTCAGTACTGGCAGTCAGTAACGCTTCCTTGGGCATTCATATATTTGCTCCCTCCCCTCAGAACTCTTGTTATGTAGTCCAACTATTGCATGACCAGCTTATTTTTTCCCCTTTTTCAAACAACATATTAAAACTTTGCAGTGTAAATAACAAATTACTAATAATCACTTTTCAATTATGCTTTGTAATTATCAGCAATGTATAAACTATAACCTTAAATTATATGTCTATTCAGATTTGGACTAGCAATCCACTTCAAGTAATTCATTTGCCTCTAAAAGCAGGACAAAGTGTGCTTAAACCACATCATGTTCTGAAAACAGCTATGGAAAGACTTAGGATTGTTTGTGGCACGACTCAGGAGCTGGGCTGATAAAACACAACTCACAAATGGAAACCAAATTTTATAATAGTAAAACCCAACTCAAAGAAGGAAACTTTCTTCCTCCTCAGTAGGTTTTGTTGTACTATTGCAAAAATGAGCAGCTATATTGCTACCAGGCAGATTAAGACAGAGTTTTAGAATAGAAAAGACTAGTTCTATTCAAACATTATTAATGTAATAATAAAAGAAAATTAAATGCACAGAAAGTACATTTTTGCAAATGATGCAGTAATTGTAGCATATTTTCCTTTTCACCTTGCTGTTTCAAAAATTATCTTCCTTCTTGAGTCTTAGATTGCTTTTGGCATTCATTACAACTCTTATTTATAACTAAAATTTGGTTATGAGTAACCAACATATGTTTGCACTATTAAAATAATTGTCATTGCTAACAATTATTCACATAATTTTTTTGGCTACTGGGACAGCAACCAAGATTGTGCCTGAAAGGGCTGGGACTTTGTTTTCCCTTTCTTTTAATTGTTCCTTCCTTTTTTTCCCAACAGGAATTTGGGGTAGAACATGCCCATTCCTCTATGCAAGCAGACACTGCAAGTGAAATCACAGGTTTCCATCCCAAAATGACTTAGTGGAGCACAAGTTAATCCACCTCAGCAAGGTAACCTGTTAACTCATGCCCAAGATTACATGTAAAGGGTTGGAAAGCGCTGTTGGCAAACTGCTTCCCAACACCACTCAACCCTGGTAGGGGTGCTCTGGCCCTGCTGCAGCCCAGGGTCACCCCTCTCAGCCCTTGCAGACAGAGCACGGCAATGGTCTTCCATCCTATATCCTCTGTGGCAAAGCACACATCATGCAGTAGTTATACAGGTGGTATATACGTAGAGTTTATGCACAGTTGAACAAAGCATACTAGTCCATTCTCCATAAAGTCCAGCTTCTAACGTCTCTGGGATTTGGTATGGTTTTATCTTAAGAGGTTAAAAGAGAAGAAAGAGAAAAATGTATCCAAACCTCTTTGTTTTTATCAGCAAGTTTTTTCTGGCTGACCCTGGTTGGCTGGTTGCATTTTACAGCCACCTGTGCCTTAGCAGATGCTCCCCTGGTCTCTGCTGGGAGCATCTCTCTGTTCTCAGGATCTTCAGGCAAATCTGAGGGTTCTGTTAGTTTGAACAATGGGCTGAATCAGGACAATATAGGGAAGGCTCAAAGCTATACATATTCCTCTCCATAAACTGTGCCATACATGTGTTCTGGTGCTGCTGAGAACCTGATGTGTCATACCAATGAACTCAGGTATCCTCACTGCAAAAGTCATGACTGCCAAGATCAAATATGTTGCTCACAAGGAAACAACAGAATGTATGAAAGGACAGCCTGTTTTCCACCTTACTGAAAGAGCAATTCTATCCCTGCTTATATTTCTTGAGGCTATGTCTGTCTTGTTATTTATTCTTCGTTTAATTCTTAATGTCCATTGTATCATGTATCTTAATGTGTATTTGCACTTATGATTATATTGCCTTTCTTCTGTTACATAATATAGCCTACTGACTTTCATTCTGACTACTGACATACAACTTCTTAAAGTTTAGAAATACCTATTTTAAACACATTACTTTTTAAAATTACAATGTGTGTTTATATTTTAAGTTAAACTCAAAAGCTTTCACTTTTCTGAAGAAATTTTGTTATTAGTCTCCAGGAAATACAGGGAGCTGCTTTCAGAATCACATAGGAAGTTTCACAGCTGTGCAGTTGATTTATTCACCTATCAGCAGTTGCATAGAAGATCAATGGTCTGTCTTGTTAACCTTAAACTTCTCTACAATGCAATAGCAAACAGAGTGTTTTGCTTGAGGCGACAGGTTATTTTGTTCCTTTTGTTTTCCCCAAAGGCTATGTGTCATCTAGGATGTGAGTCAGATACTTCAGCTGTGTTAGGCAATCTGCATTGATA